GCCCCCAACCCCCCCGTCCTGGGTTTGGACTCTGGGGGGGCTCACCTGACCCCCCCCCGATCCCCCAAACCCGGGTTTGGACTCTGGGGGGGCTGAGGGGGGCTCACCTGAACCCCCAAACCCGGGTTTGGACTCTGGGGGGGCTCACCCGAACCCCCCTGTGACCCCCCCACAACCCCGGGCTTGGATTCTGGGGGGGTTCACCCGAACCCCAAACCCGGGTTTGGACTTTGGGGGTCTCACCTGAACCCCCCACCCCAGGTTTGGACTTTGGGGGTCTCACCTGAACCCCCCCACCCCAGGTTTGGACTTTGGGGGGTCTCACCTGAACCCCCAAACCCCCCCAACCTGGGTTTGGACTCTGGGGGTCTCACCCGACCCCCCCACCCCAGATTTGGACTCTGGGGGTCTCACCTGAACCCCCAAACCCGGGTTTGGACTTTGGGGGGGCTCACCTGAACCCCCCCACCCCAGGTTTGGACTCTGGGGGGTCTCACCTGAACCCCCCCACCCCGGATTTGGACTCTGGGGGGGCTGACCCGACCCCCCCACCCGGGACTTTGGGGGTATTTTGGGGGTCCCCGCGTGCCGGGCGTTAATATTTATTCTATTTATGAGCCGCTCTCTCCGGACCTTTCTAAGGGATTTGTTTGGTTTCTTTTTCAATTAAAAACTACGAAAAACGCCCAAAACGGGGTTGGTTTTACGCCGGTGGATTCGGGGCTGGGGGGTCGGGGGGGGACCCCAAAATGCGCCCCACGGCCGCCCTGGCGCTGGCGATGCAGTCGTTGACCGAGACGCCGCCGTAGGAGGCGCCCACCAGGCTGAGGGGCAGCGCCTGCTCCTGCAGGAAACGCTGGATCCGCTCTGGGGACAGCGGGGACAGCTGGGGACAGCTCTGGGGACAGCTGGGGACAGCCCTGGGGACACCTGGGGACTGCTCTGGGGATAGCCCTGGGGACAGCTGGGGACAGCTGGGGACAGCTCTGGGGACAGCTGGGGACAGCCCTGGGGACACCTCTGGGGACACCTGACCCCCCCGGGGACAGCCAGGACAGCTGGGGGACAGCCA